CACACTATTGTACAGTAATGGCCCCAGACCTTGCAATCTCACAGATATCATGTAAACTGTATTGGGGCTATTTCTGCAGAAGGCCATCATACTTTTCTGTAAAGTAAAGCTTGCTGTGCAGGGTCAGTACCCAGAGTACAGTGTCAGAAGTTCCTTCGATTGGATGAGAATGGAGGCCATATTTTTTCAACTAGGAAAAGCATAAAGAAATAAACCCCCCCAAACCTGATGGCCATTTATCCCTGAGGTAGAATGAGCAAAAATGGGTAGAGAAAGGAATGGAGAGAAGAGGGAGAAGGGGACAGAACTATGTGAATAACTGATTGTTTGGTTCACAGCCAATTCTGAAAAATAAAATAGTTCAGTTCAAACCCAACCCATTTCTTTGGGGGGAGGGGGATTTTCAGTGAATCAAATCAGAAAAAATTTGGTTTGGGCATTTTTAATAAAAGCAAAAGAAACGAGAGACCACATTCACAACAACCAGAGAAGAAGGAAAACAAGGTGGTGGGGGTCCTTCTACAGGTGTCCCATGTCCCTGGTGAGTACGCTATTCCCTAGGCTAGAGGTTACCAGGAGCATCTCCATCTCCTGTGTTTTTGTGACTGATGCCAAATTCCCTTGTGACTCTAGCCCCCCAAAATGTTTCATTTTGATAATGTTGACATGGTTCTTTTGACATTTCTGATTTTTTTTTTCCATTTCGACACAAATTGGTGAAATGTTTTAGTTGTCCCGAATCTGGAAAAAAAAAATAAGTTTTGTCTGAAAAATTGTGCCCACTTCTAGAAGAGAGCTGGGAGAGGAGAATGAAGGAGGGCTTTGGGGGCCTGATCTAAAGCCCAGTGAAGTCAATGGGAGTCCTCTTGACTTCGGTGAATTTCAGATCAGGCCCATGGAGACTGGCAAAGTAGAGCATTATTTGGGGGTGGAAGTGTGGTCAAAGGGACAGAAACAAAGGAGAGAGTGGAAAGAGAAGGAGAGGGAATTAGACAAAGAAAGGAAAGGAAGCAAGAAAGAGAAAAGAGGAGCTGGAGAGCTTGATGTAAATGAATATTCATCAGGAACTAAATAGAATAAAAAAGTAGCAAGTTTCTCTCTGGCCCCCTAAGCGGGAGAATCTTGGGGACTGAGCTGTGGCTTGGCTTCCTCCTTTGTCCTTGTGTTTTTATCATCTCCTTGACCTTTTCTACAGCATTAAAGGCTGCACAGCAGCCATCAATACTTCCTGGGGAACTCCACTGAGAATGTTACAGCACGATAAGGTAGATTGTCTATCAAAAATCATGCCTTTGTCGCCCACAGTTCCTAACAGGGATTATAAAAGCTCTAGAGATGCCATAAAAAGCCTCTGCTTTCACATACTGTACTCTGTAGTTTGTGGTGCAGTTCAAGATGATCCATGGAGAGTTAGATGTCAAACTACAGGAAGTTTTCTTTATCAAACCCTCTTCCAGAAAAGACAGCTAGTTTTCTAGCTGAGAAAGCTTCCTGGAGTTATAGCTTTCTAGGGAAACAGAGAAATCCACCCTCTGTGACCTTTGGGATTCTGGCAAGAGACACAATCATTGTTCTGGTATTTCTGGCCCACTTCCTAATTTTGGGAGGAAGTTTTAGAGCAGGGGTAAGGCTTATAAGAATGATCTCTCAGGCAAGGATCACAATGGACAATGACCATGAGTTAATAAAATCCAGCCTCTCATCTTTCACTCAAAGGACTTTTGCTGCTGAACCTCCCCTCTTGAGCCTCTCTGAAGGGGGAACACTTGCAGAGCTAATCACAGGTTTCTGTGGTCCTGTGAGGAATAAGACATCTGAGGCTCCAGGGAGACAACAGCAACCCACATAGCACATTGGGGAGCGGCAAGGCTTCACGAATGAGCAGAATCATAGGGTGCTTGTCACTAGAGGTCTATGATGTCGGCAGCTAATATGGAGCGTAGACTGGGGAGCAGATCTATGGAAGCTAAAGGTTGGTGGGATCACAAGAATACAGGTTAGTTTGCTGGGAGGACATTGGCTCAGAGCAGGGCCCTCCAAAGTGTGTGCGTGGGGTGGCAATCGATAAGAAAACAAAAAACTCTTAGGGGTAGGCTTCACTAGTCGGAGAGGAGGCTGCACTTTGTTGATATTGTGATAACTGGGCCTACACATTTATCCTAACTGTAAACTCAACTGGTGAAAAATGGGTAGAGGTTCATGAATTATCACAATGATTTGTTATAGAGAACAGTTTAAGAAAAGGTGGAGACAGAAAGACTGAATTGTTTTAAACAGAAAGGGCCAAATTATACCACTCAAGGACTGTGTTAAGATGATGACTGGTAAACAAGAGGAGCAGAGGATTGGAAATCAAGAAACCAAACTGGGGTGTTGGAAAATAGGCCTAATTGCTGGACAGAATAAAGTGAGGATGGATTATTCCACCCATCGCCTGTTTGGGCCCTTTAAAAGAGACTCTGTGGGAGAACACAACAAGAACTTTTACCATCAGCATGGCTGTGGTGGAAGGGTTGTTGCCATGACACCAGACCTTGGGTGGAGACACTTGATCTTCATCACAGCATCAGTGACGATCCCCATGTGATACATGCGAGATCCTTCTCTGTCTTGCCCTCCCTCAAGTGCTCCTTTCTGCCTCCCATTTTCCTACTGTCCTATCTCTCTCAAGTTTTCACCTGATCCTGAAATCAGCTGTAATGCATTGCAGCAGCATAGTGAGACGAGACGGACCATCCAGCTCTGCCCAGTCTGAGAAGGATCAGTGAATGAGAGGGACTTGACCAGACCAACAAGATGATGTCCCTGACCAGGGAGGTGAGTCGAAGTCCAAATTAAGAGCTGTCGTGCCAACTGCCAGCCCAAAGCATCCCTCCAGGACTGACTGACTGCCTTGTATCCTGAGAACATCACAAAAGCAATATTTTCCCCATCTTTACTATTCTATCGCTTCTCTCCCTTCTGTGTCTGTCTTTTTTGTCTAAGGCACAAAAGTGACTATTATTTTCAATTCAGAATTGAACAACAGAATTAATCCTTTCTCCCGCACCAAGAATGACTCTTTGATAGAATAAGAGACTTCAACAAATATCCACTATATAGGACTTTGATAGGTTTTAAGTTTGTTTCGCACAATCAATTTCAGTATCAGTGCTCTTTACCTTGTTTTGATTCTTTTCCTTTTGTGTGTTTCAATCAATAAATTCCTAGTGTTTGGTCTGAATTTTATAGTGTGTTTGCCACTGTATTAAGCAGGCTGAGGTCTCTGTAGCTCAAACTCTGGACCTTATTTAACACTGTTTTATGTGGGTCAGTGAATAGGTTAACACCTTTGGCCCATATATTATATCTAAATACAAGAGTGAATATCTGCTTGTTCACTAGGAAAGGGAAGAAGGATGCTTCCCTGCCACAGCTGTGCTTCCCCAGGCTCAGCTGTGCAAATTAAAAAAAAAACTAACTAGAAAAGAAATCATTAATACCAACTGGCTCATGGACATAGAAAATGTTGAATTGGACTGTTAGGTTTCCAAGTCCATGGCCTCATACTTTAGTATGCACTCTGGATATTGCAACTAAATTGCACATGAGAGTTCTAGCTAGATTTTTTTAATGTTGACTGGGCAATGTATATCAAAATGAATGCCACCAAAATGATGCTAACTGTGTGCTTAATAAATACTCATGCCCTATGGGTTACTGTGAAGTTTAGTTAATATTTGTAAAACATATTAGAAGGGATTTTCAAGGTACAATTTCATACTTACCCAACTTGTGCACATGTTTTGGGAGTTGTTCAGGTGTAAAATAGCTACTTGAAAAAGCTGGTCCTAAAATGCAGTGTTCCATTGTTATTAACTAATGCTGATGCTGCATTAAGGGCCTGATTCACAGCCCACTGAAATAAGCCGCTCACTGAACATGATGACAATAAACAGCATTTTATTGGTAGAAATAAAATTCTTAATGTGGGACTTTGTATTTACCTCCATACCAACTCAGCTAATCCACAACTCTCATCTCATACACTGGATCTAACTCTTAACATCCCTATATCATGGGATCACACCACAAACTGTGTTATTCTGCTGCCATCTCATGGACAGTTTGCATTCAAATCTCTCTCTCACATGGATTTCATTAATCTGTTATTCTATCAAACTATGCTTTGTGGCAATATTTTAGGGGTGAAATAGAGGCTGATAGCCAGGTCTGCAAAGTGGTTCATGCTATATAATCATAACTGCAAAAGGAGATCCGGAGGGGAAGAACTCCAACACCCACCTGAGGAAAGGTATCAAAACAGGTGGCAACTATGGATATCTAGAGCAGCAAAGGGAGGTGCAGTGGACAGAGGCTTGCATCAAGAGTCCTTATCTACAGTCTAGCCAGGCAGATGGACTCCTGTGAAAAGAAGCCCAGTAGTGACTAAGAGTGAAAGAAGAGAGTGGATTTGAAATTATTTCCTTCAAGAAGATAAAGAATTAAGGAATAATGATATTGAATTATTTTTGCCTCCCATTTTCTTTCCCACCCCTGCCCCAACCAGGCTCAGCATCCCCCACCCCTTCCTCTCTGCACAATTTCATCCTTCCACCCTTGTCACACCAATCAGGCTCAGTCTCCCCTTCTCCCCCAACCCAGGCTCACATTTCTCTTCCTCCTTTCCCAAGTTCAGCCCTCCTCTCCCCACACTCCCCCAGGCCCAGCTTCTCCACCTCCTACCCCCAAGGCTCAGGCTCCCCTCGATCTCTGAAGCTTATCCCCCCTTTCGCACCGGGCTCGGCCTCTTCCCTTCCCCCAAACTCAGCCTCCTGTCCTCTCTCCCAGATCAGCCTTCAAGATGGCGGACCCCATTGGCCACGGCTGGGGAAGAGCCGCTCTGGCCCCTCTTGGGCACGCTCTATGGCGCTACCGGTAGACAGGCGGTCACGTGACAGCGGCGGAACGAAGCCGGCTAGGGAGGTGGCGTTCCGGCGCAGGCGCAGTACGCACAGCAGCCGGTGTAGCGGTGCAGGTAGCGTTGGGGGCTTGGGGCAGTAGCCGGGTCATGTCCCGCAGGCAGGCGGCCAAGGCGCGGCCTGGTGGCGGGGGCAAGAAGGCGGAGCTGGAGCGGAAGCGGGACGAGCGGGCGGCCCGCCGGGCGCTGGCCAAGGAGCGCAGGAACCGGGCGCCCCCGGAGGACGGCGGCGACGCGGCCCAGGAGTTCGTGAGCTTCGGCCACCAGCTGCAGGCGCTGGGCCTCAAGCTGCGCGAGGTGCCGGGCGACGGGTGAGCGCGCGGAGGCGAGGCCACGCCCCCCTGCTGAGCCCCCCCCTCCCGCACTACGCCCCCCTCCCTCTCGTGCCACGCCCCCTGCCGGGCACCTAGCTCCGCCCCCCAGCGCTGGGCACACGGCCCTGGGGGTGCAATCCAGGCCTGTGGCTCCTGTTGTCCTGTGCACACAGCCCTCCCCCTGGACCCAGGTACCAGCCCCCAAACCACTCACCTGTCCCTGGGCAGCCTGCCCCAGCCGTCCAGCTCCTCTGGCTTCCCTGATCCAGGCTCACAGCCCCCTTTGCACTCAGTGCTTCCCCAGGCACTCCTGCCGCCCGTGTGCCTCCACGTGGTTCATGTACTGTCCACAAACAAGGCTGGAAATTACTTGGACGTGCTTCGATTGTGCAGCCTTGTAGGAAGTGTTAATACAGCATGAATAGAGGCTGAGGATTGAGGGAGGGTGCGTGTAGGCTGCCTTGTAGAACTATTGGGGTCACAGTCTATCCCCTTGATTATAGTAGGACAAGACACTCTTGCAACTGTGAAACTGGCAAGAATCTTGCCAATTGCACCTTACAGTTTTTGTTTTTGTTTTTTTTTTTGTTTTTAGAAAGCTTTGAGCTGCAGCAGAGGCAAGTAATGGAGTTGAGTCAAAGGAGAGAGCCCCCCAAAATCCAAGCTGAGGCAGGGGTACAAGTGTGGAGACACCCCAAAGATCAGAAGCACTGGGGTAGAGGTTGGGGGAGCGTTCCTTCCTTCTAACATCCATAGGAGTCCTTTGTCTGGGGAGGGCAGCCTTCATATTTATCAGGTTTTTATTGGCTAGAGGGAGATCTGGAAGATGGAGGCCCCTGAACCAGGGTCCCAGGACATCACAGTGGTGGGAATCTCAGCCTCCTTTTCTGTTCCAGCAGGTGGAGATTAGGTTCTCAGTGGTGGACTGACCCTCATATTTTATATTGGCCTGTGCCTGTTAGGTGTCTCATTGACTTTTTAATCTCTGGTATGTTCCCATCAGTCTTGCTACCTGTATTTTGAATAGCAGTCGAATGCTCTCTAGCCTGATAAATAGTTCAGTTTTTATAACTTATACATATATATGCTAAAGACACAATGTCACAATATGTACTTGATTGAGGAGGGCAGGTTGAGTGACCCAGCCCCTTAAAGAGATTATCATGTTAGAGAAGAGTCCAATTCTTAACTATAGGTATATTTTAATCCCTTAATGCAGTAGTCACCCCCCTCCCCAAAGGGTTAACAGAATAGTTAACTGTGTGGAAAGTGTCACTATTCAATAACTTGCTCTTTGTAGCATCCCATCCTTTGTCTTGGCTGGGATTTTTGAAGAGATTTAAAGGAATTAGGTGCCCAAATCCCCCTGATTTCAAGGACAGTTGTTGGCCCATGAGAGACTAGTCAATGGTTTTCTACCTTGTTCTTAGTGGATAGGTGTCTGTTTCACTAAAAGCAGTACACTGTTGCTGCTAGTAGGTAAACACTTTCAGTTGCAGCAGAGATGCTGAGTACTGAGTGAGCATGGAGGTTGTGCTCCTCTCGCTACAGGCCTGACGTGCAGGGAAGCTTACTTTCCTGCTGCCATGACTGCACTGTTCCTATCTGTAAATCACAGACTCCAGCATTAATTGGGTATCTTTCACCAATGTTAAATACATGTCAGACAGACTTATTTGAAGTGTTTGTCTTTCTACAGCAACTGTTTGTTCCGGGCCCTTGGTGACCAGCTTGAGGGGCACTCCAGAAACCACCTCAAATACCGCCAGGAAACAGTGGATTACATGATAAAGCAGAGGGAGGATTTTGAACCTTTTGTTGAGGATGATGTTCCCTTTGAGAGACATGGTACGGAAACCGTGGGATGCTGGCAGAAGGAGTTATTGTGTAATTAATCCCCTAGCCAAACCTCTCGCCCTTCCATTTCCCCATCCCAAAGCTACCTTAGAGTAGCTATTCATTCTTCAGATGCAATTTGTAGATACTAAAGAGTTTTCCACCAAAAAGGCGTTAGGGGAGGGTGGGAGGCCAGGAACGTGAGCTGCTAACTGGTCTTGGTATGTACCCAAATATGGGAGCAGTTTGGAGAGGCAAAAGAAGCCTAAGGGTATATCTACACTGTAGCACTGAGGTGTAATTCCCAGGTCGGGTAGATGTACGTGTGGCTGCAGTGGCATGGGTGGTGGCTTAGGCTAGCTGCCCACATATGTACCTAGGATCTTGGACTGGGTTGCACTCAGGCAGCTAGCCCAAGCCGCTGCCTGTGCCTCGGGGCCACACTGCTATTTTTAATGTGCTTGCTTGATCAGAGCTAGCACATGTATGTCTACCCTAGTTGAGAATTGCACCATCCATCTGCAATGTAGACTCATTGTAAGTGAGTTAGGTGCCTGACTCCCATTGAATTTTAGTGAGTGAGTGCCCTCGCAACTCTTTGGGTTCCTTTGAAAAATCTCACCCTAAGCTGCTTAGTTTTAGTAGGACTTCAGATTAAGTGGAAGCCTTGCCCTATAACATTATATAATGCTAACTCTAGATAAGAGCAAAAACAGAGCCTTATCTAGACTTTGCTATAAGAGCCTGGAGAAACCCCTAAGTAACACACAGGTGATACAGGAAGCGGTTTTAGTGATTCAGTACATGGCATGCTTCTTTCTGAGTTACTACTGAGCTGACAACCTCACATATGTTAGGGGAGACTGTTGTGGGAGAAGCATTTTCTATGGTGATTAAAGACCCTCTTAATCTTTATGTCCAAATTCCAACATGAATAATCACATTCGTCTGTCAGGCTTGTTGAGGTGTGGTTCTCTTTAGCCACCAGTGTTTCTGTAGGTGTCCAATCCAAATCTCTAACCTCTTCTGTATCCATTCTGAATTTTTTTTGTTTTTAGTTGCCAATTTGGCGAAGCCTGGTACATTTGCTGGCAATGATGCTATTGTGGCATTTGCAAGGAACAATCAAATGAATGTGGTTATTCATCAGCTCAATGCCCCTCTGTGGCAGGTAAGAATCAACACTGAACTTTCCTATCTTGGTCTGGGTTCCTGCTGACTAATACAGATGGTGTTAAATTTGCTGATTTTTTTTTTAAATTACTCTTGGCTAGGTTTTGGTATGATGCTGAGTGGCTCTTTGCTTCCCCCTCCCTCCTGCAAAGTTTCTCCCAAAACATAAGCAAGGACGAAGGGGATGTAATTTAGGCTAATAAACAGCTATTGAACATCTGAAACTTAAGCATGTCAGGCCAGATCATCTTGTGTAAACTGACATCTCCATTGAGGTGAGACTTACATCACCTGAGGATCAGGCGTATATGTAGAATGACTGTGTCGATATTAGATTGAGTTAAGGTTGGGGAAGGTTCTTAGCACTGACATGCGTTAGGAGTTAAAAATAAGCGTGGTAAGGCTGTCAACTTAATGTAGGTGTGGGTGTTGTGGCGGGGCCCTTGGATGCCTTGTGTGTGTGTGAAGCTCCATCAGTCGGTGTTTTGGGGAAGTGCAGACTGAGTTAGTGCTTTTGTGGGTGACATGGAGTGGATAGAGCCGTAAACTTCTTGCAATAACTCTGCAGGCCAAATTAGCATTGGCCAGAGCAGTATTGATTTAGCTACATGGACGTAGAACTTCTGGGATGTACAGAAATCAGTCGGGTTGATCCCCTGTGTGAATTCTGTATATTTCCTCAGATGTGTCCTATTTAACTACTACTGAACTGCTTTGAAAGCTACTGCTGCTTTACATTGCTGTTTTACTGAAATCAATGAATTGTTAGGATGTACCATGTGCTGTGTATTTGCACTTGCCATGTTTGCTAGCGGTATTTTGAGTGACATTCAGGTAAATGTCACCAGCATGAGAACGTGCACTATGCAGGGACTGAGATGTTTGAGAGCTTGTTGTTAGCTTGCCTCAATCTTCTGTAATACAACAGCAAGCATATCTGTTAACCATTTCCCTTGGGAGGTTGGCAAAGTCTGAGATGACAGAAGAATGAGCTATCTCTAGGGATTCTCATAGTGAATGAATCCGTACTGAACCTTCCCTCTCTGTATTCAGAGGAGCAGCATGTGAGCATGCATCTTCAGTCCTGGATCATTCATCTGTGTGTCTGTGCTTTAGTGAGGTGGATATAAAGGAGTAGCTCTTTAGTACAACATTTAGTAGCCCAAATAGTACAACAAAATGCATAGATTAGGGCTACTGAGGAGTCAGAACACTTACCAATTGGAAGGTCTAACTGGCATTTTAAATGCACTCCAGCATGCTGTAAAGTAAACTGTTGAATGGATTTCAGAACCAGAAAAGTGTATTTAGAGTTTAGATGACCCTACATAAGTTAGGTAGCTAACCCACACATTCTAAAGAAAAAGCATTCTTCTACTATGCTAAATTAGCTAGTTACGAATCCAGCAAGAATAATGCTCATAACTCTGAGGTTCTACCATAGCTGAACTGACCAGTCAACCACACCCCTCATTTGGAACCAGAAGTACACCATCAGGCAGCAGCAGAGACCAAATAAACAAATACAGTACAGTGCTGTGTTAAATATAAACTACTAAAAAAAAATAGGAAAGCAGTATTGTTCTTCTGCATAATAAAGTTTCAAAGCTGTGTTAAGTCAATGTTCTTTCAAAAGTTTACAACTGAACTATAATGTTTTGTTCAGAGTTATGAACATTTCAGAGTTACAAACAACCTCCATTCCCGAGGTGTTTGTAACTCTGAGGTTCTACTGTACTTGGTTTCTCAGAGCATGTAGAGGCAACCACTATGCAGGAGTTCATGGATATGTTATGCAGGTTATTGTTTTGAGCTGGATGTGCAAGTTGATGTGCTCACTCTTATCAGTACATCATGTATTGCCTCAACAATTACTGCCTGAGTGTTCCCTCTTTCATGGACCATTTTCAATGCCCTTATGATGAGATTCCTTGTCTTGTGTGGCTGAATGTAGTGCTGATGAAAGGTGCTAGTTGACAGCCCTGGTGATGGAAGTTCTACCACAGAACAAGTATTTTGGGGCAGCCGTGTAGATCTCTTCCCTACAACTGCTGTTGTGCCTCAGAGAGACTGTCTTTAGGGGAGTTTATTTTCCATGCTTCACTTGGTCTCAGCAATAGAACCAGATGGGGGTTGACTTGTAAGAGAGCCACCTTAAGCACAAAGCAACCAACCTGAGAAAACCTGGTAGAGCAAGTGCTTAATGCCTCCCACTCTTATTTCTCAATCATTTCTGTCCTGCTCCAAAGCCTAGTGAAGTCACCGGACATCTTTCCATTGACACTATTGGGATTTGGATCAGCCCCTTTGATTTATTTGGAAAAAATGCTTTTTGAGATGCCTATTACACATGGAATTACAGGGTTTGCTTTGTGCCTAATGATGCCTTTGCCATTCTCCTTTGGCTTAAGGTGATTTCATTAACAAGGTCTATTTACAGTACAAATTAGCATCCTAACTGTTTCCTGAATAAAAGTGAGTTTTGGTTACTTTCTGCATATTGTCACATTTCCTGTAGCAAAACTCTATTTACAGCCCCACTGCGTCAGCAGGAAGCTTCCCTTTTGTTAGGTAGAGTTTGTCCATGTTTTCCTATCAGGATGCCCTCATGGAACTGCAGGATCTGTAGCCATTCACCCTCCTGCAAAGAAATGTAGATGTAAAGCTAGCGAAGCTTAATCTTGTTGCCATCCGGCATGTTGACCAACTTAAAAATAATGGAATGTGAATGGGGAGGTAAATGAAAAGTTGTTGAACTGGTGACTTGAAGGTGAACAGTCGTTAAAAGAAATAAATGGAGGACACTTGTTTGAGATCTCAAATCCTTAACAGGACAGATGTATACTTCAGCTACAGATATAGTCTAAAGGAGAGCAGGAAAATGCTCTTAGTTGCTTTCAGAAACGTGGAGGAGTGAGCATTCTTTGTGCTGCTTTGGGTATTGGTCATCTGGTTTGGCAGGTAAGTAAAGGAGGAGCTGACTTACAAATATTCAGTTATGAAAATGGATCTGATTCTCTGCATTCCACTTCAGAGTTGGGATCTTAAACATCTTTTATGTAAAAAAGTTTAAGTAACTTAAAATATCAGGGTGCCTACCTATACTTAGAGCTGGAGTTATTCTAGCAGCTGTTACATCCATAGATGCGGCTAATTCCCAGGCTAGGTGTCTTTTCTACAGATATTGCTAAGCTTTGGCTGGCACAAATAAAAACTTTCGTTTTCTTTAATGTTTTCCAGCCCTGCTCTAGTATTAAAGAGCAAATTGACCAGCACTTGATTTGTAAAGTCATAAGAATCAAGCAGCTGACGTGGCTTCCTAGCACTATAGCTTGCATATTATGGATATTATTTTAGGTACATCTGGACTACTGGCTATAAATGTTCCTTAGTTAAAGGTCTTAGCTATCTAGGTAGTTTCCTAGGTCAATGTTTTGTATTAAGCTTAAGCACTGCTTGTAAAAAATTCATATGCTCTTCAGAATGTAAAGTTGATTCAATTCTAAGGCCTCTTTGGGAATCTCTCCATCTTCCTCAGATTCGAGGCACGGATAAAAGCAACGCAAGGGAACTTCACATCGCCTATCGGTATGGAGAGCACTACGATAGCGTGCGGAGAATAAATGACAACTCTGAAGCTCCCGCACATCTTCAAACAGAGGTCGGTGATGACAGAACGACCTCCTCTGGTCTGGTGTGGGCATCAAACCAGAGTCTGGGTCTCCAGTTTCTGCCAGCTTGATTTGATTGAATGTGTCAAAAGTGGTGGTCTTCGATGGTGTGCGCGCGCACACGCGGCACCCTCTCATTGACTGTGTTGGTGTTGAGCATTGGGGACATAAATATCCCTCGGTCATTATAGTTGGTGATGTCCACTTAGCAGGCGGTTGGAGAAAGTTTCTACATTTACAGGACTGGGATGCGGGAACTACTGAATTCTAGTCCTGGCTCTGATCAGTGCTGAGGGCCCAAATGTCCTTGAACCTCGTAAACATGTGATGCGCATGCACCTCCAATGTAAAAAACCAAGGGGGGAGATGAAGGTGAAACAGCCTCACTCCTGAGCCGTCACTGTCCCTCATTAACTATGGAGGGTTAGAGTGAGCTGTCCTGGAGTCACGGTGCATGCAGTTGTACAACATGCACCTTGTAAGTGAGGTTAAGTCCTTGAAATTTTCTTTTATGAAGTCTGCTTGCTATACATAATCCTATAGCATCAGAAGCTTTTCACCATATAATGCAAGACTCGAGCAACAGTGGAAAATGATCCAATTTGTTTTTTTTAAATAAAGGACACCCCAGGCAAAGGTATTTAATTCTCTAGCCAAGTTCAATGGTCAGCACTAGGTTTCCTTTGTCATGTCTTGAAATGACAGTATCTTCATATGCTATGGGACTCTGATTTGACCCAGGCTGGTACTTTTCATGGTTTCCTTGTCACTGCAGATGCTGTGTAAAAATGAATCTAATAAGAGGGAGAAAATCAAGCCACAGAAGGACGAATCTGAAGAGGAGTTACAGGATGAAGTGGAAGATGCTGTACAAAAAGTCTGTAATGCAACCGGGTGTTCGGTCAGTATTTAGTCTAGTCTTCATTTCGGAGTGATGCACACAATGAAGGGCACCTCTTATTACATGAAAGTTGACCTGCAAATGGTTCGTGGGCTGATGCTGCTGAGCAGTTTCAGCATCAGAGCTGCAAGTCACTGGTCAGGGCTTACAAGGGATATGCTTCATAATACAGGTACGTTAGTGACAGAGGAAGTGTATTTCAGGAATGACTAGATTTGTGGGTTGTTGTTTTTTTTTCGCATGTCCAGCTTGAGGGCCCTTGAAGGGGCCAGATTTTCAGAAAGCGCTGAGCATCCAGTCTCTGAAATTCGGGCCCTTGAAGGTATCGTAAGGTGGGCACCCAAAATCCCTAGTCACTTTGGCCCTCATTGTTACATAGCTGTAATTAGCAGCTGCACTGTCCCTGTAGATTGTCATCTGTATTATAGTAGTTCCTAGGGGCCAACCAAGAATCAGGCTCTATAGTGCTGGGGTACATACAGACAGAGCAGGGACTCTCTAGTACTCTGAAGTGCTTCGATTATGCGGGCTATACCGTAGCACATCAGACTCGTGTGCATGACTGTGCAGTCAACTGAGGTTTTGGATTCGGCTGCTGAGTTTAAATCAGATTTGTCACTTACTCTGCCCTACTGAAAACTAGAAACGTGTAAGCTTATAAGAATTCCCCAAACAAGATTTGCTTTTAGCTAGAACGTATAGATAATTGTTTTAACAGGTCTGAGGGGTTCAAATCTATCCCACGTATTAACATCTCTATTTGTGGCTAGGATGTTGATTTAATCATTCAGATTCTGGAAGTGAAGAACTACGATATTGATTCTGCGATATTTGCTGTTCTTCAAGTGAACAAAGTGAAAAGAATCTGTAAGTAAATGGAGGATTTTTTAAATACTCTTGTGTTTCTGAAAAATACTGGCAGGAGGGCACTGGAGACAGAGGTGCTCTCATTATCCACATGACAGGATAGCACTGGCAATAACAGTGCAAGCTTCTCCTCAGCTGTCCCACCAGGGTGCCTCAGCCCTAGCTTAAAAGGATCACCTGTGAGGGGATAAGGTTAAACTTCTACTCCGATCAATGTTTGGTGACTCAGCCGAGGCTTCCAGTGTGGTGCCATCTATGAAGCTGGTTTCAGTGACTATGCTAGGAACTCGAGTGAGCCCACCAACTGATTTCCTCTAGGACAGCGAGCAGCTAGCCCCAACCAACCTGTGCTGATGACTTAATATTTACAAGGCTCCACTTCAGATTACGATGCCATTCAGTCCCTCAAACAAATGGATTTTCAGTGTTTACGAATTGATCTAATTGATTCTAAACCTGCAATTCACTCAGGCCTCTGGTGTCCCTTCACCTGGGATGTTTAGGTCCTGAGGATCTCTTCCCCACAAAGTTAATAAAAGCCTGCTACTGAAAGGCAACAAGGGTCAAGTGCATTCTTGTACATATGGTCCTCTTTTGAACCTTGCAATGGGTGTGAAATTTGAGGGGTCCAAAAAAATCTCTGTGGGCTCCATAAACCGGTTACCATGAGCAGCCCCATAACTAGCTAAGTAGTTTAAGCAGCATAGGCCACCCCCAAAATTAAAACATTGCAGAAAGCCCATTGGGAACCCAGTGACATTCTGTAACCAAGAGATGGATTGTATCAGTGTCTGAGTGAAATCTCTTCCCTTGATAGATTCTGAAGAGGAATATGAGACCCAGGCCAAAAGTAAGAAGTCACAGAGCTCAGCCTTGTGGGAGGAGAATGGAAGTGGCACCAGAATCTTTGGAAATCAGGGATTGCATCAGGATGGAACAGAAAACAACAAGACACAGGCTAGTCCAGATGAAGAGAATCAAACCAACAAAAAACATTTCCCAAAGGTATCCATCGGGAGGGCTGGGAGCAGGTCAGCTGTAGGTTCAGTGGAATTCTGACATTCTGGTGAACTCCTTGATTAAGGTTTAACCCTGGAAACATTTTGCCCATGTATACAAACTTGCTGTATTGCTGCAAGAAATGCACTCCCTGAATTTGCTAGCTGTACTGCTGGGATCTGATCTGTGTCAGATCATGCTCTTCTGACAATGGGGAACAAGAATGTTACGCTATCATGTGGCCTCTTGTTTCTCAAAATGAGAAGATGCTAAAATCCTGGGAGAGTGGCTGTGTGTCTCCGTTCAGGCCTCTGCTTTGTAGCCTTGTGCTTTAATATCATCCCGTTTGCCTCCCTATGCTATAGAACACAACATATTCCTCTGTCTCTTGAGCAGGGCCTATGGGTAGGGCCCTACCAAATTCACGGACCATGAAATCTGGTCTCCCTCCATGAAGTCTGGTCTTTTGTGGGCTTTTATCCTACACTATGCAGATTTCACAGGGGAGACCAGCGTTTCTCAAATTGGGAGTCCTAACCCAAAAGAGGTGCAGGTGGGGTCACAAGGTTATTTTAGGGGGATTGTAGTATTGCCACCCTTACTTCTTCACTGCCTTCAGAGCTGGGCGACCAGAGAGCAGTGGCTGTTGGTCCGGAGCCCAGCTGTGAAGGCAGAGCCGCCGCCAACAGCAGAGCAGAAGGAAGGATGGCACGGTATGGTATTGCCACCCTTACTGCTGCGCTGCTGCCTGCGGAGCTGGGATCAGTCAGCAGCCGCCGCTCTCCGGCCACCCAGCTCTGAAGGCAGCAGCGCAGAAGTAAGGGTGGCAATACCATACCATGCCACCCTTACTTCTGCACTGCTGCTGGCGGTGGCTCTGCCTTCAGAGCTGGGCTCCCGGCAGCCGCTTCTCTCCAGCTGCCCAGCTCTGAAGGCAGCGCTGCCGTCAGCAGCAGCACAGAAGTAAGTGGTAGTAGTACCACAACCCTCCCTACAATAACTTTGTGACCTCCCCCACAACTCCTTTTTGGGTCAGGACCCCTACAATTACAACACTGAGATTTCAGATTTAAATAGCTGAAATCATGACATTTATGATTTTTAAAATCCTATGATCATGAAATTGACCAAAATGGACCGTGAATTTGGTAGGGCCCTACCTATGGGTATTTGAAGGTGTATTTACTGTTGGACTCTTCCTTTTAAGGTATCCAATAAACAAAGGAAGGAGCAGCAGCGGCTAGAGAAGAAGAAGCGGCAAGAAGAAAGGCACCGGCAGAAAGTCCTGGTCAACAGGAGTAACAATGCAGATAACAACAGGAGCGAGACAGACTCGGATACACAAGTCACCCTGGTGAAGACCCTTGCAGCTCTGAACATATGACTGATGTATTGTGTGTTCTTTGATGGAATAAGTGAATGGCAAATAAGACTGATCAGGAAGGGCACTGAGCTTTCAGACAAAGCCATCTTCAAAGCAGATTCCCTAGCACCCCTCTATTTTTAAACAACGTTTCTATGGGGTTCTCTTAGCATATGCTAAGTTGTCTTTGGTTCTCCTGCTGTGGGAAGAACAACTCTTCAGTAACACTAAAGAACATCAGCCAAGCTTGTGAGGGATGGGCAATCGAGGTTAAGTAAAGTGAAAAGATTGACACTTGTTTTTACTATTCTTGAGACAGAATCTAGTCAACCTTGATCCATCACCCCACACACCTTGTGTGAATTTTGCTTGGCGGTGTCACAATATTACTTAAGTTAACTCTGACTACATTTTACTAAGCTCAAGCATGGAAGAGCTCTTATTTTAAATTACTGTGCAGGAACATTTTAACTGCTCCCGACTCAGGAACTCTTCTTTCTCTATTTAAATTCAAATAGATTAGGACAAAATTCCCAAATCCCTTTCAAAGCTAATCAGCCAAATGCTGCACCAGACATGTTCGATTCCTTTCCCTCCCCACTTGTAACTTGATAGCAAGTTATAGTCCAGATAGAGCTGCTCTTGCTTTGGTGCACTAAGCCATATGCTAAATGTTGCTAACTATTAGAGGAGATAGGGATGGTTGGGTCTATGCTTGTTTTTTGCACAGAGAGGGTGAACTCTTAAGTCTGTAGCTGCTCTGATCTGCTGGCAACCGAGTTCCCCTTCTGACAATGCTGCTCCAGTAATAATAGGGAGATGCCAATGTATTCCTGAGGTTGCCGGGTGGATTTCCCCAATCTGGTGAGGTTTAATAAGATGATCTTTTACCATAAGCAGGTGTAAGATTTCTATTGTATAGTAACAAAGATGTGCTGGTGTTTCGGACCATCCTCCACCTTGCTCCTGAGCATTAAGGGCTAGAGTCCAAAAAGGGAACTTGACTGTCTTTAATCTCCAAACTAAGTACCTGTAGCCAATGGATCAAAAATCCTGGGAACGAGCTTCCAAGAAGCACTGGGAGACCTGCCTGCTTTATTCCTCCTAAATCAAGCTTTTCCTAGCTTAGATTCTGCTTGGATAAGGTCACCAAGCACCACACAGTATAATTGATAACTAGAGTCTGAACCCTTTGCTGCTTTCCACAAAGATTAGGAGCCTGGCCTAAACTAGGGCCAAATTCCACAGTTCTTAACTTGATGGTGTGAAGCATTGGACATCACTCAAGTGTTTGGACCTGCATCAAGCTTTAAAAAGTGAAGGATGGGGGGGGAACCCTTACTCAGAATAAAGTCTAAGCAGAACATTTGAGTGAGATGAGCTTTGAAAAGTGATCCTAGATGTCTTAATCATCCTACATTGGTACTAGAACATATGTAGACGTGAAACATACAAATGTCCTTTTGGCTTAATTGTCAAAGTCTTCGTTAGTGGTTCTTGGTTTCCTCTTCCTGTATATCAGTAAAATTTGAAGCACTAGAAGAAATGGTGCTCTGTTTGGTATGCTAGCAATATTAACGGTTGTAGGAGAAAAGTAAAACTGTGAACTCTGACCTTGGAGGATTGTTTGTCCATCCAGTTCTGGATGCGGGGTAGGGAGAAAGTTGTTCTGAAAGAAAGTATAGCTACTAGATGAAGGTTGCTTCCAGCATAAGCACAGAAGCTGCCTGACCCTGCAAAGTCCAACCTTGTTCTTAAAGAGATTAATTGGACTGGCTTTTTCACGTAGCGCTACCAGATCTTTAGTGGGAGGGGAAGATACTTAACTATGGTATCTGAAACTGACTATGCAATAGAAAATGCTTTCATCTGTGAGTGTAAAGGAATTAAACAAGCTCTTATTGCACTGGACTGATTGTCTTGTTAAAGCACTCAACTTCACTCCAGCAAGCTGTGTCAAGAAATCCAACCTGTAGTAGTTGAGGGTCCCAAACTCTCCTGCCCTCTGTGGTACAGACTCTCTGGTCTGGCTGATGAAAATTCTCCTGCCTTTAAGATCTAGAACATCTCTGGCAGAGGATTTCCCTGTACTTTGTTCCTCCAGGAACTTGCTTTCGTGCCTGTTGGCTAAATGAGATGGCAGTTATCCTCTAGGTGGCAGGCTGTGAATAGCCTTCACAGGGAGAAGATCAGCAGGATAATGAGCAGCGAATGAGTTGGGTTCATTCCCTTACAGCTTTTATTGTCAAGCTCTTTGGTATGGAGCCAACTGCTACATGGTATTGGGTGTCAGGTCAGCGATTTTCCCCTTGCCATCATACATTAGCGTCAGTTCCCACCCCCGTAGCAGAGACCATCTCCATCCAAGAAGCCTGCGATTTGAGAATCCTCTGGTTTTATCAAGGTGGCTACTTTGTACAAAACTCATTGGGTTTAATGCTAGATGGGGACTTAAATAGCTCAGGATAGGCAGTGGTATATGGAGACTTCCAACTCTAGATCTCTCTGGATGCAGATACAGCTTTACCAATGGTGGTTGTTTAGTGGCCGAGGTGAAATGAATAAGTTTCAGTCCGGCTAGAAAGATACTATCATCATGGGCACTTGGAGGCCTGGGACTGAATGAATATTGGTTACCTCTGGAGTCTGAGAGGTGCTCCTTCAAGAGCCGTTTAGCAAACATTGTCCGAAGATTTTACTATTGCTGCTTGTGATATACCTATTTGGATAGAAGGTTAGCTCAGCAGGTGCAAACTTGCATAGCTCCACTGACTTTGATGGCGTTAAATTGGTAATGTAAACCAAGCCTATGTCTGTATAACTGTTGCTAGTTATACTGACCTACTCCTCACAGTAGACCATGCTATGGGCTTCTCCCATCAACATAGCTACCGCCTCTCAGAGAGGTGGAGTACCTCTGCTGACAGGAGAGCTTCCCCATCGGTATAGGTAGCATCTTCATTATGCGCTACAGCACTGTAAGTGTAGACAAGCAATTCTTGCCAAACTATGCAGGTTGAGCATGTGGTCAGTTGTTCCTTAATGCTACCAATCCAATACCTTCCTCCAGTAAATGTAAAGAGAACACACCCCCATAGCAGTTAAATTACATTGAAAGTAATAAACTCTTGGCTGGAGGTTGCACACGGTAACGAAAGCAGGCTTGGGTTTGAGTGTAAGTGCCAGGGAGGCTTCCCCTATCGTTGGCTGTGCACTAATTCTCGTTCCTTTCTGGTGATAGCTTAACCCTCCTTGGGGAGCGGTCAATCCATCTGTTGACTTACCAGTGGTTTTACCTCATCTGCAGTGCCTGAATATTAGAAAAGTCACATGACCTGGAGTATTTGCATCCATAGTAACGCTCCAGATGTTCCTAATTTCCCTTGGATTCTGTTGAAACTGAGTAGGGAATCTTCTCTTCCTTCCTACTTCAGAGCATTCTGTGGGGCTCCTGCCCCGGTCAAACCAAATGTCGGTCTCTTTTAATTGAATACTTAGTGCAATAGACGCTGCAAAGATGTGCCATGAACTATGAGAATGAATTTTTGTATATTGCTCAAGTACAGATTAAAGGCAAAATTTTCAGATTTACTAAAAGCTGGCTCACTTCATTTTGTTGAGTAAGAATGTACTAGCTGACACACCCAAGCAATCGGATTCTCTCTGGTTCTGCTCTGGTCCCCATTACTGTAGTATGGGAGTGTCTCAGTGTTCAATGTATTTATCCTCAACACCCAGTGTGGTAGAGCAATGGTATTATCTCCATTTTACAGAGGAGGAACAGAGGTCCAGAGACACTAAGTGACCAGCCCAGTGTGAGGCAAGCATGAACTGTGCAACACCAACTCTATTCAGGAGCTGGCTAGCTCCATTTTGCCACCCCTTCACGCAATGGTATTGTGCTATAAAGAGGGCCAAATTAACAACCCTGCAGCAGAAAAGCTAGAGCAGGGCATGGATTGTGTACACTTTCCCATAGTGACTTAGTTCTAGGATTACCACCTGTGTGTCTTAAACTACCCTTTAAGGGTATGTCTACACTACCCGCTGGATCTGCGGGCAGCGATTGATCCAGCAGGGGTCGATTTATCGCGTCTAGTTTAGATGTGATAAATTGATCCGAGTGCTCTCCCGTTGACTACTATACTCCGCTGCCGCGAGAGGCGCAGGCGGAGTTGCTGGGGGAGCGGCAGCAGTCAACTCACCGCAGTGAAGACACCGTGGTGAGTAGGTCTAAATATGTCGACTTCAGCTACATTATTCACGTAGCTGAAGTTGCGTAACTTAGATCGATTCTTCCCCCCCCCCCCCATTCCCAGTGTAGACCAGGGCTAAGTTCTATGTGGTTTGAAAATTCTAAGCATTTCTGGGTGCTAACCTTAAAACAAGTTACTCTTACACCGTAGATCCAGGAAATTATCTATGTCAAACATCCAAGAACTTCCTATATCTGCACCAGACCTGCTCAAAGACTACCACTAACGATCATGGTTTACAAGCCAATCTGTGAGTTACGTTACTTCATTCAGTGAAGATACCACAAACCAGTTACCAGTGAATGAAGGCAGGCCTCCCTTAGACAGCTAGCTGACGCCATATAACCAATAAACACTACTTTTAAAGAAGCTCAAAATGATTTCCCTGATAATAATTTTGAAGATGCATAAGAAGCAGGGAAGTGCACCAAGCAAGACCCAGCTCCTCTGAGCAATAGTGAGGATGATGAACCCTGAGTTATCCCCAATTGCCAAGACGGTGTGTCTGGGGAAGTGATTTGTGCCCTGTAGATGAATCCCAGCTGGTAAAAGCATTGTCACCTTGAAATCTGGGCGGTTTTAAAGGGAGTCTAACCGAGTGTACCTGGCCTGTTTTCTGTACTACTCTGATGGGTTTTTTAAATCATGAGTCTTCTAAAAATGGTTTTTCTCTTGTCTGTCACTGTGCCAAAACCTACAGACAGGTGAAGCTGCCTGGATACAAAGCACCGCCAAACACAAAGGAAAACGATAAACCACCTCTTTCTAATCTGTCTTTTCAACTCATTTGTTACTATAAGCAGCTACAAACTTTTCCTTAGTGGAGGTAAGGGGACTTAGCTGCAGCATGTGTGTAATCCCATCCCTTTTAAGCACTTTGCTGAATCTGGGCCATAAATCCAGCTTGTTTGACTTGCTTTCATTTATCCTCTTCCGTTTTGCTGTGCTGGTACCTAAAATAAAAGAACTGGAGCCTCCCATCACGTATGCAACACTAGAAGGCAGTTCAGGATGAATCTTCTCTAGCAATTGAGCCATCTAATCTTTCTCTGTGACAGCTGTTTGCATTTCCCATTAAGATGAAATTTAAGTACTCACTATAATGGGAGGAGCCCCGTCCCTAAATTACAACGGAAAGCAAAGGCCCTTCAGTGGCTCTAGAAGAGTCTGGAGTGTTCATTAGAAGGAAAAGTGAGCAAGTGGTTTAAGGGTAAGTCAATATGTTCAATTGAGGGGTAAGTTTGAGGGGAAGGTGGGTGGGAGATACATTAGTAGCTGCATCATTCCTGGAGAGGGTCTCTATGCTAACTAGAAGGGAGAGATGACTGTCCTAGCTTAGCTGGTGTATTTACAGTTTCACATTGATTTAATTCCTCGACACTGATATTGGCCAAGTCTGTTCTGTTCTGGATGATTGTGGCCAGGCTCAACAACATTATTAGCCTCTAGTGCACAGAGCTCCTCCACTGTTTACTAGAACCACCCCCAATGCAGCTCTGTATCCCTTGTTTGCCTTCCTGTGAGCAACTCTGAGCATGTTCCTAGCCTGTGTTCTCTTAGAATGGTGCAGTGCTGATGTAGGGGAGAGGTACTTGCGAAGGCAGTGTGTGTCCTCCCAGTGCTACCCCCCTGTTGCGCCTGATCACTACCAGTGCCAGAATGTGGTCAAGCTGCCCACATCACAGAGTCAAGTAGGCCTACAATCAGCCAAGCTTGTTCCCAGCCTCCAAGCAGTGGTAAAGAACACAGCGATCATGCAAAATACAACCCTGTTGAAACAATAGATTGGAATAGATGTTTGGAGGGGGAAAACTGCCTGGGAAGGGCCCAGAGGGATGTTATCCTGCTAGGCAACACGAGAGGAGCTGTAAGATCAGGCACAAAACAAGAACAGAACTATCAGCAACAATATTAACTACCCCTGCCCCCCATACACAGCTGATAGAACCACCAAGGGCAACTTCTCAAACTCAGCTGCAATTATTTAATAAGACTAGGAGAAGGGCAGTAAGTACAAGCCCCTCCCTCCCATAAGGCCCTTTCCCCTTGACCTCAAGGCACTAGCTTCCTACCAGGTCTATTGAGCGGCTTCCTTTCAGCGGTCTGATCTGCCCCGTGGAGTAACCACGCTGCCACAGCTCTTCTCTCCTGTTCAGATTTTACCATGTTCTGGATCTTGGAACAGTTCTGTAATACAAACAGCTCCTCGCTACAGATCAAAGGAATCCTATGCAGCTACAGACAAGCGGCCATGTCCAAATCCCTTTGAAGCATCGCGCCTCTCCTGGAGAGGGTTCTACGCCAGCCACCCTTGCTGCTTCTACTCAGCTGGATGCTCCCGATCTGGCTCCAGCTCTCCCACCCACCTGCAGAGGGGTCCCTGCAGTTCAGCATGATACACTCAGCGCAGAGATTGCATCAGGGGAACTCATGAGGCAAAAAATGGTGACCATATTCAGAAGGGATAACGTGCCAATGTTTGGAGGCCTGGGGACAAGACCCCCGTATCTGCTAGTTCTATTACTATTTGTATTACAGTAGTGGCTGGATGTCCCACTGAGATCAGGGTCCCATTGTACAGCGCCTAGCACAAACATAGTGAGAGATCATCCCCGCTCTGAAGAGCTCGCAGTCTGAACAGCCAAGGGAGAGAATAGGTGGGAGGGGAAATGGAGGCCCCAGCTCATCACAGGTTAAATACCTGTGAGCATCGGGGCAGGAGAGCAGGAATGACTTGGCAGCAGATCCAGACACAGACCTCAGATCTCTTTAAACCCCACTTCAGCACCCTCCCCACTAGACCGCGCTGTCTCTGGTCTTGGAACCTATCCGGATGTCCAGTCTGATCCCCAATCACTGGGCATTCAGATTTCACGTTTGCTCCAATTTCACTAATATTTACGCATGCCCAGAACCGTGTGTCGTCAGCTACCCCAGTGCAAAGTCGGTATAAAATGCAACCAAATGGAATTAGCGGCTTTTAATCCCCATTTCACGCTGGTGTAAATGACCTGAAGGGCAATAGAGAATCCAGTCCCAGGAGTCTTTTCGCCTCTTTTTATAAGACAGTCCCTCCAACCCCTTCATAACTCTTAATTCCCTTCAGTCTTTCTATGCCTCTGTGGTCTCTAGGTGCTCAGAAGTGGAAGCAGTTTTCTAGGTGCTATTTAACCAGGGTCATACAGAGAGGGCTCATCCCTGGTACAATATTTATCTCATGAGAATCCAAGAAAACCAAACCTCTTTCCTTGCAAGGATGCGTCTCTTGGTGGTATGGTTTGGCAAGGAAGTGTTCTCTACTCAAGACAAGAAAGAATTGAAGTTAATCACTTAAGCGGAGGTCACGCCCTGATTCTAAATATTTGATAGTATCTTAATGCTCACTTGGGGTCCGAGAGAGTTTACACGTTTGATGACACTAGAACCTCACTACTCCACAGTGCTCTCCTTAGACAGCTTGGAATTCACCTCCCCAGAACAGTGCTCTCGCCTGGCCTCTCAAAGATTGCGTTGCTATTGAATCTCATTCCCCACTACATTTCTAACACACGAACGCTGCTGCGTCCAGATACCGAGGCCGAGCTCCTCAAAGGTATTACCTGATGAGGTTCAACAAGGACAAGTGCAGAGTCCTGCACTTAGGACGGAAGAATCCCATTCACTGTTACAGACTAGGGACCGAATGGCTAGGCAGCAGTTCTGCAGAAAAGGACCTAGGGGTTACAGTGGACGAGAAGCTGGATATGAGTCAACAGTGTGCCCTTGTTGCCAAGAAGGCTAATGGCATTTTGGGCTGTATAAGTAGGGGCATTGCCAGCAGATTGAGGGATGTGATCATTCCCCTCTATTTGGCATTGGTGAGGCCTCATCTGGAGTACTGTGTCCAGTTTTGGGCCGCACACTACAAGAAGGATGTGGAAAAATTGGAAAGAGTCCAGCGGAGGGCAACAAAAATGATTAGGGGGCTGGAGCACATGAGTTATGAGGAGAGGCTGAGGGAACTGAGATTGTTTAGTCTGCAGAAGAGAAGAATGAGGGGGGATTTGATAGCTGCTTTCAACTACCTGAAAGGGGGTTCCAAAGAGGATGGATCTAGACTGTTCTCAGTGGTACCAGATGACAGAACAAGGAGTAATGGTCTCAAGTTGCAGTGGGGGAGGTTTAGGTTGGATATTAGGGAAAACTTTTTCACTAGGAGGGTGGTGAAGCACTGGAATGGGTTACGTAGGGAGGTGGTGGAATCTCCTTCTGTAAAGGTTTTTAAGGTCAGGCTTGACAAAGCCCTGGCTGGGATGATTTAGTTGGGAATTGGTCCTGCTTTGAGCAGGGGGTTGGACTAGATGACCTCCTGAGGTCCCTTCCAACCCTGATATTCTATGATTCGGCTTCCAACTTCCACTGAAATGAATTGAAGTAAGGAGCTTAAATATCTTTGAAGATCTGGGTCCATGTTACCAAGACCTTGTTGTTTCAGTCTGTACCACGTTATGTTCACCAGTACGTTATGGAGTATCAGTGACTACTTGTGTGCAAAGTTACTGACGTGCAAGTGTTTACAGGATTGGGCCTTAAATCAACAATAATATTGCCATGAAACTGAACAAAAAAAGCTGTCAATGAAAGCCCGGTTTAGGGATTTGAACATACTCCTAACATGCGGTGTTAGGATCCTAAATGTTATTGCCATTGTACTAAGGCAGGAAGATCTGAAAGTGACATTAATTCTCACCCTTTTAAGTTGCATGTGGCTTTTGTACACTTTACTCAGGACAGAAAGCAAAACTGAATCAATCTGCATGACACCTGCCCGGGTCAGCCCCCAAAAGAAAGGAGTCCAGAATAAACCCTAGATAGAGTTACCCAAATGAATGTGACCGTTCCCCATCATGAATCCTGTGAGTTTACCTCAAAGCACCCCATGCTTAAGAAACCCCAGAGATGATTTCTCAAGTGTCTGATTCAGCCATCCATGCTCCCCTCTTACAAACTTTGTTAGCTGCAGCATGAACTGTAACATATCCCTTGCTAATAAAATGTTTGTAATACAGGTGTTCTGTTAGATCGTTAACCCACCAGCAAACAGCATTTTCACAATCTATTTCCCCGCTTTATATCCCAGTGTTAACTTGGGGCCTAAGAGGTTAGGCAACACGTCAAAATAAATAATGCAATTATTTTATAAGTTTTTCCATAGAGGAGACATGAACAGCTGCGAGGAGATGATGTTATCCAGCCAAACCTTTGATTATTTAAAGGAGTCCCTCAGGGAAATTTCAGAGAAAGTAAGTTTCTAGTTCTCATGGTTGTAGAGAAAAGCTGAAAGACCAGAAGGGCAACAAAAAGGCCCCAATGTTGTTATTTTTTAAATCTCTTGATTGTGATGCAAATCTCATGATTGTGGGGGCCTGTCTCCCTATATCAGAGTGCTTGGGAATAATGCTGGTGATGCTGGATGGGTCTGTCTGGACCCCGAAGAAGGGTGCTTTTAAAATTGAATTAGTTCAGTGGAGTTAGCCTTGTGGGGAAGCCACACAGCCAGTTGGCAGAGTTGTAAAGGTGTTAAACTGTGTCCACCTGGGTGTGAAAGGTCATTTCCAATCATGTTAAGGTAACTCCATTAAGCTAATTCAATTTTAAAGAGCACTTCTTTCTTTCATGGGGACAGGGCCAAGGAGGTTGTTGTAACTGAGCTATTGGAATGTCATTTTAGTCTTTGCACAAAATATTTTAGAACATGAAATGGCCATGTCGAAGGGTTGACTCACCTCTGGCATGGCTCCTCGTGGCTGGGTGTGGAGGAGCAGATTTGCTCTGCGACACCCCCTGCTGACAGGTGTTCCTGGTTCTGTGGTGGCCTGCCTCTTTTTCCGACTCAGCTCTCTAGCCAGGTCCCCTTTTAGTTCCACAGCCCTTTCAGGGTACTCCACTCAAGTTCCAGTTTCTTCACCCCCTCTCCTGGGGTTAACTAAGACCGACGGGGTCCTCACCTGGGATCGTCTATGAAGATCACTCAAAGAAAGCTCAAGTACTTCTAGTCCCACTCAACTAACTCCCAGGACTTTCCCAAACCCTGTTTCGGGCTCACCATGGGGAGAAACACTCCTCACTTGCCAGCTTGGTACTCCCTCAGACTGTCAACTCTGGACTAAACCCTCTTTCAGGCCTACCGCAGTGAGACTCACCATCTCCTGTTGCCCTGTCTCTAGTGGCCTTCCCAGACCCCTCAGCTTCTCAGGCTTTCTTTCCCAGTCCCATGCCCTCCTTCCTCAAGGCCTCTTGCTGGGGCTCTGCCTAATGCCTGCAAAGTTCTTCCTTGCTCTTATTTCAGAGTATGGCCCCCCCAACTTCCTCCTGGCTCAGCCATCTCTAGTTCTGGCTCCAGGCTTCTCTCAGCCTTTAGCCCATGAGAGGAAACTACCAGCTGGTTTCCTACTAGGCCTTTCCCCCCACCCCGTGCTCCTTCTTTGATGAAGAGCCCACTCCTCCCCAGCTGGGTTTGATCACCAGTTTTGCCTAACACCCCTCCAGGTGCTGCCCAGGGGCCTAATTGGGCTCAGGCTTCTGTTAACCCTTGCTAAACTAGTGTGGGGTTTATGCATCCAATCACACTCCAGCACATCGTTAATCTCCCAGCACAGCTTTAGGCCCAGTTTGTACCTTGATTTTGGGCCTAATCCAAAGCCCAGGGAAGCCTGATTTAGATGCACTTTGGCTCAGGACCTCGAGGCAGAGACCAGTATTCCAGTTCTGCAGCTTTTCCCACTTTACTGCTGCAAGCCCACGTAGCCACCCGCTCTGTCTCTGGAGAATCTTTCTCCAGCTGGTCTTAAATAAGACTTGGCACTAAAACCAAGCCTCGCTGTAACTGCCTGGCAGTGCCGACTGGTTAACGTCTCCATTGGAGAAGGGAGAGAGAGAGAGCTCAGCCTGGTATAACAAGAGGACGATAGCTATCATGCTAAAGTTTATTTCAGATATTCCATCAGCAGTTAAATCATATAAAATGACCCGAGCCGGTAAGCAGAGCTGCCCGAATTTCACGCTGATTCTTAGAAGCTGCAAACATTGGTTGCATTTTAGAAGCTGTCTTTTATTTTTACTAGTAGGGGGAGGTATGGCTTGTACTTACAGGGCCTGGTCCAAAATCCACTGACGTCAATGGAAAGGCTCAGAACCCTGCTGAGGAACGCTGCTAGAACTTGGAACATCTTGCCGAAAAAGGAACAGCACCTAGCGCAGGAAAGAGATGGGGCTGGCACTGCAGAGCACGGGGACTAGGGCAGCTGTGGGCCTAGCACGCGGGAGAGGGTCCCTTGCAGAGGATGTTTGGGTAATAGAGATATTTTCTGCGGAAGGTGTGGGCGGTCCTTTGGAAACACATCGCCGCAGCCTTGTCACATTCACAGGTCCATTTCTGGCAGACAGTTTTCCCACCTGAAAAATAAACCAGCAGGGAAGCATGAGAACAGTACAATAGAGCCCGGGGCAATTCTCTTGAATCAACTGCTGGAGCATATGCAGATCCTCTCATTGCATGCCTGAGTGTTGCAGCTAAGCCATCCTATGTGTGGGAAAGTCACTTGGGCCCAATCCAAAGCCCATTGTAGTCCACGGGAACCTTTCTATGGACTGAGGTGGGTTTGGGCTTGGCCCCTTGCCCCAATTCTACTGCTGCTTTACAGAGGTGTCTGTGATAACTACCTACATGGTGGATACAGCTTCTTACCAAACAGGAAGATCACGACTCCATAACTAGGTGCAGGGGGCCTGCGGTGAACGTCTCTCTGTTTGTTTTGAAAATGCTGCTGTTGAGAAGACTGGAACGATGCGAGCCGGTGTGGAGCACCCCGCTTTGTGCTGGCGGCAAAGCAGCCGGGCACACGCCGTGCTGAGAAATGTGCTCAATTCCTTTCTTGCACAGATGCAGAAGGCCGGCACGTCTCCTATGCACCCAGCGACAGCTGAATTTCCCTGGGTGAGTGCCTCCTGGCAATAGACAATAGCCAGAAATCACGCTGCATGTGACACAGCTGGGAGCGCACAGCCTCCCTGTTTGCCAACTTCTCCGAGTTGCTCTAGAAGAAGTATTCCCTCTGGCGCAGCAGGGCCCTGGGCCTGTACTCAGCTCAGGGTGAAATTCACCCCACAGCCTGGGGCCACCAAAAGGCCTTTGCGCCGCTTAAGTTTTTAAAACAGGGCAAAAGTGGGGCAGAAATAGTGTGGAGGCCCTCGTCCTGACCCCTCTGGGTGGGGTGAGTTTCACCCGTAGGGAAGCTTGTCTTGCTTAACCAATCACCTGAAGAATAATCACAACCAGGATCTGTACAGCCTGCTCCCTATTTCAAGCACATTTCACTTGTTAGCCAGTTGAATAGCATTTTCCAGCCTGCTAGTCTCCAGGGTGCTCAGGAGGAGCGAGGCCCAGAGACTGCCTGTCTCTACGGAGAGCGAAGCCATTCAATTCATGCCTTGGGCTCTATAGTCTCACTTACTGCAGGCTATGTTGCCCGACTGGATGGAGTAAGAATAGGATTCCAGTTTGGGTTCACAGCCACGTGCCAACATCTTGTTGTAGCAGCAGTCGTGAGCATGACAGCACCTTGTATGAACAGAGTCAGCATTAGTACAGCACTGGGGGGCGGCAGGAAAAACATGACTAGTTGTTATTTGAATTACGGTAGCACACAGGGTCCCTAAATGAGATCAGAGCACCGGGGGGGAGGGGGGAGGAAATGTTGTGCGCACACAGCGAGACCAGGGCTTGCCCCAAAGGGCTCACAAATCTACAGCACATCTTCCTAGCAGAACATCCTCCCTGTTTTCATTCAGGGAAAGTGGAGTTAAACGCATCCCCTTGCCATTCACCTTCCGCGGCGCTCCAACAAAGGGGATGATTCAATGCCGCTCACTGTTGGCCTCCCAACAATGCAGCATTTGCTTTGATCGATTTCCTGTTTCTCTGCTGTAACTAATGTCTGGTAGCTGAGTCATTACCCAGTGTTCTCAGGAGAGATTTGATCTCTAGTCAGAGGTCTATGCTTTTTTAGGCACGCCGGCGTGATCCGTGCAGACAGCGGATCAGGTAGTGTTGAAAGAGCTGGAGGGGGGGCCTCCTTGAGCGATCTGCATCACCTTGAGCATCCTCAACTGTAGTTGTGAAAAAGCCCAATGGAGACTTGAGGATGTGTGTTGACTAATTCACGGACAGTTCAAACTAGCTAGCAACTGCCCCTCAGATCAGATACACTCAAATGAATAAAATCCCAGGAGTAAAATACGTGAGTAGTTTTGATTTGGTATCTGGATACCATCCGATTAAAGTGGCAGCTGAGGATTGAGAACAAACTGCCTTGGTGACATGCTATGGGTTGTTTCAATTCTGCAGAATGCCTTTCAGACTCATGAACGTGCCAGGGGCATTTCAGGGGCTGGTGACTGTCCTTACCCAAGCTTTGAGAACTGAAGACATCCTCACGTACTTAGATGACTTCATTTGTTCCCCCCAAAATGGGCGGGACGTCTGGTAGGCATGGTATGGGTTCTAGATCTTCCTAAGGAACCAGGGTTTAAATTTGTACTAAACAAATATCAGTTTGTGAGGAGCCACATCACCTTGCTTGGACATAGAGTCAGCGAAGACCAACAAGACTGGGATATGAAGACACCCTCTGTTGTCTTTGCATATAACACCTGCTGGCATTCAACTGTCCATTACTCTCCTTATGAGATTATTTTTGGACTCCACAGACCTATGAGTCCCTCAGACTTGATGTTCGCCTACATAGCTGAGAGACATGGCGGAGTCTTATATCAATGACACCATTCCCGAAGGTGGAAGAACAAGTGAGCCAGAAGCAGGTTTTGGAGCCAATCTCCCCTTGCAGTTCCAGGATTCCCTTGAAATGCCCCCCTTCTCTGAATTCCTGGCATGCCACTGAGTTTTGAAAGTAAATGCCATTAGTTATACAATGCACGCTGACAGAATAGTTACTCCTGGGGGGTGGGAGGGGGTCAACACACTCTGATTGATTGCTACTGAACTAAATAATCATCACAATGATCTTTTGTGGGTATCTACCAAGCGTCTTAAAGCTCTTCATAAAAGTGGACATGCAGTAACCTCATTTTACCCGTGGGCAGATTGAACCCAGCTCTCCTGATTCCCAGTCTTGTGCTCCGACCACTTGTTCACATTGCTGCCCTGAGTAACAAATCAAGGGCCATGCTGACGACGCCAGTTCTGGAGGGGAGGAGGGCAGCGGGGGCGCTGAACGGTGGTAGCACTTCCCAGTGCCCTTAGCGCCTGTGCTCTGACTTACCAGTCGGTCGCATCTAGTGGCTGTTTGGATCCTCCCAGTCCACAGTAGCATCCGTAACCATTGTAATTCAGAAGGGCGTTTTTCCCAGTCATCTGCTTAGTTATGGCCGCAAACTGAATCAGGTTACTGCACGCCAAGGGCAGGCCTGCAACCAAAGAGCTGGGGATAATTAAACTGTGTCTAAAGGGACATCAGGGAAAAACACCCCTGGCCTCCCATGTCAGTCCTACTGCAGCCACTCCTGGCTCTCTGATCATTCTGTAGGCAGGTGTGGGGGGAGCTCCATCCCCTCAGAACGCCGGGCTCTAAGCATGAATCTCACCCACAGCTCCCCTGTGTCTCTCCTATTTACTGCGGGTCCTTCCCACACCAGTTAGTCCAGGGCTGCAGTGTCCTCTGCAGAATGGAGGGAGTGCCAGAGAGGAGAACCATTTCTTGACCTGATGCAGATAAAGTTAATTGTGCCTAAAGCTGGCGCCCCCGTTATGCTGTATTCTGTACGTACACAGCATCTTCCCTGGAGACAAGACAGAAATAGGGGGAACCAGCGGCAGGGGGCAGCCGTCAGTGGCAGAGTCAGCATTAGAACCCAGTTCTCTATGGTTCCACCCCAGGGCCCCAGCCCCTGGACCAGCGGTGTGCAAACTTTTCCAGTCACGTCCCCCCCCTTACCATTCGTGGCATTTGTTGCACCCGCCTTCCCATTACTTGTAATCTGAAGTAAACCCTGACGTCTGTGCTGCTGCTGGCGGCGGCGCTGCCTTCAGAGCTGGGCAGCTGGAGAGCGGCAGCTGCTGGCCGGGGCGTTGTTGTTGTTTGCGGTGTGGGAGGACTATTTTTTCAATCCCACTCCCGTCCCGCCATGCAATACCCACTCTATTTTTATCCCACTCCTGCTATTATGGCAGCAGGTCCTGCAGCACCCATAGGATCCCAGTTTCCCCCGCAAACCTCTTGCACCCCCCCCTCAGTTTGCACACCATTGCACTACTTTGTCTCAAGCAAACCATTAAGGCTTTTTATGACAACAGCTTCTAGGCAATGTCAGAGTTTACAGGAAAATCAAGAGAGTTAAAAACGTGTTACAGAATGGGGATTTACTTACAGCACAGGAAAAGTAACAGGATGCCAGGCAAACGCTTCATTTCAATTGAGAGAGGTTAGAGAAGAAAATAACTGTCCAGCTAAGGAAAGCACTAAACCTTAAAGAGAGCCCAGGACTAACTGCACCTTTACTGCTGTTGGTTATATGGCCATTCCATAGTGCCACTCCTCCTTATTAAACTACAGAAAGATGGGAGATGCAAATATTTACAGTTCTCATCAAAATGTATTTGTTATGCAGCGGTGTGTCTGGGGTTCCTGGACACTGTTGCCGTAGGGATTAAGGCCCAGATCTGCAAAGGTAGTTAGGCACTTAACTCTCCTAGAGGTCCCAGGAACTGGGCCTTCGTGTTTTTGCTGTGGGTTAAATGGGGGGTGAGAGCTGCATTGTGAAATGCAAAACTACCCCGCAGTCAACGTTTCCCCCACATTTTGAGTCTCAACAACGGGCCTGTTGTCACAGAACGTTTTGCAAAACAGGTGCCTTGTCCTCCTAGGATCAGTGTGTGTGACTGTGACTAAAAATGAGTTCCCATGGATCAGATTTTCAAACTTCAGTGCCTGAGTTTTGCATGCAAAATATTCCTGTGCCAAAGCGTGCACTGAGGTACCCAAAATGGGCATGAATGCCTCCAGCGTGCGTCCTTATGAACACAAACACAGGAACCTTATGCATTTCCCAGCCCCCTGTTCTCTACATGCAGTTCCACCTTTGCACGGGTATGTGTCGCTTTGCTGTTGCTAGAGATACTGCTGATGGGAAGGCAGAAAGGACACAGGAGCTTTTGTTCCCAGAACATTTCTCTGCTGGTTGGGGAAAATATTAAGCAGTATCTTCTCTTTGTACCTGCCCAGGGTAAAAACTGAACCTCTCTTTGTGTGTGGCCTCACCCATCCTTGCCTGAGGCGCTTCCACAGAAGAGCGCTGATGCCAGGTATAGAAATCAGGCAGCCCTTTGCTTTCCATTCCAGAGGTCTCTTGGCTCCAGTGGTTCCCGACAATGCTTGTAACTGAAGATAAGAGTGGGCCAGGTCATGGCCCGGAGGGCTGCTTTGTGATTAGTATTGCACTAGCCTTCACAGCAACACCCAATCAGAGCCGTGCCCCATTCTGCTGCACAAACTCTGCTCTAATATATATAAAAAGGGGGGGGAAATCAGTTCAACAGACTGTCCTGTGCTGCAGAATAAGGTGTCCTGCTCACCTTTATTTAGAAGCAAAGGAAAGGAAATAGCATGGTAACTAAAGTGAAGGAAATGAATCCGGAACCAGAATATTAAGCAGTGGGGAGCTTATGCCAGCAATCCTAGGAGAATCCCAGTTCAGCCAAATGGTCCCTAGTCACCATTTTTAGTACTGTGGTATTATATATATCCCAGTAGCACTTTTGGGACAAACTGAGATCAAAGCCCTATCATGCTAGGTGCTGTACAAACACATAGGAAGAGACAGTCCCTTACACGCTACATACACAGGCAAAGAAAGGACTATTATCCCCATTTTACAGATGGGCAAACTGAGGCATAGAGTGATTACAGCCCAGCTTCATAAAGGTACTTAGGCACCTAACTCCTATGGTTTCCAATGGGAGTTAGGTGCCAAAGTGCCTTTAAAAATCTGCACTTGGCCAAGGTCAAACAGGAAGTCAGTGCCAGAGCCAGGAATTGAACCAGTCCAGTGTCTCAACCGTCCTTCCTATATTGGCTACCGGCCATCTGATGTGGTTCTTGTCCGGCCTGGTCTGTTCTAGTGACCCGCTTTAAGGTAGAGCTGCTGCACTATTTACAAGCAGTTCCCTGGAATTTCTCTTGTCCTCTCCAGCAAAGCACTCAGAGATCACAGTCCATTCTACAGTCCCACTCCTGGCTCCTGGCTCCTTGGTCCTGGGGAAACAGCAAGTGCAAACTCTTGTCAGCTGGGTGGTCAGTAAAATGATGTGCTGGGGACAGGATGGCCCCTAGCACCTGGGTGTGAATCCCGTGCACTTGTTGTCTCGGTAACGAACGTAGCGGCTGTTGAACGTCTTCAGGTTCCTTTCCAGGCAGAGAGCAGTGCTCTTGTCACAGTCACAGACCTGTTCTTCGCACCAGCTCCCCAAAGCTGCCAAGACAGAGAGAGAGAGACGCACGTTTTTCATGGGACAATCGCTGCGACGAGGAAGGTGACTAATTCTCAGGGCCTGACTTCCCGCTGGCCCTGTGGAGTCACTTACACTCGGGCTGTGTGAGTGCAAAGCGGGTATGAAGTACTGCTACAGGCGTCCTCACTCACACCGGTGATAGGTTACATTTGATTGGATGAGACCTTAAAAAGTGAGCTCCTAACACCCCCTTACAGTCAGCTGCATGGACCCCAATTTACCTAGAATCATAGACTATCAGGGTTGGAAGGGACCTCAGGAGGTCATCTAGTCCAACCCCCTGCTCAAAGCAGGACCAATCCCCAGACAGATTTTTGCCCCAGATCCCTAAATGGCCTCCTCAAGGATTGAACTCATAACCCTGGGTTTAGCAGGCCAGTGCTCAAACCTATATCAGCTGGCCGAGGGGCCGAAGTCATTGGGTCAGGAGCTGGACCAGGGCTTTCAAGGAATCAAGGTGTGGCAACTCCAATACTTATGGGCCATTAATTCACTTCTTGGGTCCATGACACAAGGGGAGAGAGCCAGAGTCCTTCCAGGGACCCTGGTGCTGCCCTCCCCTTCGAACCCTTCTCTTCTGGATCAATGATAACGTTTGGCCCTTTGGAAGGAGGACACCGAGCGAGAAAGGCGAAGAACCAGACCAGTGTGCTGATTAGAGAGTAGAAGCAAAGCACGTCCCAACCTGACCAAGGAGAGAGAACTCACCACACAGAATGTCCCCGTCCTTGTAGGTGTAACTATATCGCTGTCTGTTCCCATAACATCCACTAGCTTTTAGCCTTTTATAACAGCAGTGATGAGCTCGGCAGCACCTCCGGGGAGAAGGAAGAGCAGAGGTACACGTCAAAGGTCTGCTTACAATGAAAGAGACTATCATCCAGTATAGCCGATCTTTTCTAGGCAAGCAGGTCTGGCCATTGTCTAAGCATTTGTTGGATTTACTGTTCATATCCGGTACATTCCCACTAATACACGTATTTGTTCATGTCAGAATCAGGGCCATATCTGAGGATCCATAACTAAAGATCAGAAATGCCCTGGTGAGTAACTGGTAGAAACTGAGCTTTCTGCAGAAGCCAGTGAGCATCTTAAGAGACTTTCCATCCAGTCGGTCTCCTGCAAAGGCCCCTTGATAGTAAACTCGACTGCACTTTATAGGGATATTTAAGCACCAGCCCCTTCTCTCACCATGACAGGCTCTGGGGGACTTTTCCCTTTATGAATCTTGGGGCTTGACTAGGTGAGTGGTTTTTTTGGCGGGTGTTTTGCAAAGGTGCATTTGACCAGTCCCGTGGGATTACAGCGCTGCTTGAGGAATGATATATTTTTAAAAAAATCTAGTGGCAATTTACCAATCTGTCGCATCCTTTGGCTCCCCTCTGCCATCAGACCCGCAGTAGCAGCCATACCCATAATAACTGAGGATGGCGCTTTTTCTCGTGGCTTGATTAATCATCTTTCGAAACTCCAGAAGGCTCCCCTGTGTTCCAGACAGACCTGCAAACCAGCAAGAGCACTAGGAAGGATGGTTTCCTCTAAAGGAAAGATCACTTCCCCCTCTCCTGTTGTTAGTGCACATGGGGAGCACACTGAGTTGGTGAAAGAACGCTGAGCTGAATCCTGGGGGTTAGCATGTGGCTCTAATGCCACAGCCCTTTGCTAGGGGGTGCTATGGCGCTGCGCTGCTCTACACGGGGCACCAGAGAGCTTGTGCCCCCTAGTGGTGTGTTCCTTGCAAAGGGGATGCACAATCCTCATTCCAGCCTTTAGACCGGCATAGACGCTTCCCACAATTGCACTGCTCTTGCTCTGGGGACCGGCACCAACTCCTCCCTGCCCCCTTTCTCCAGCTTACTCTCCTGTGGGAGAGCGGGAATGCACAGCCCTTCCCTGGAGCGCGGGGACTTGTATTGCAAGAGGCCCCTGTGCAGCAATGCAAGGGGCAAGGTGAACACCTTACCCTCTCCCCTGCCCTTACACAGAGATGTGTGTGGCCATGCATGAGCTGGGGCCTGAGGCTTTAATATGCCTCACTCGGGTAAAGCTCCCAGTGACCTCAGGTAAGGGCTGAGTAAACCCAATGTCCAGACCCCAAGCTGCGGCCAGGTGTACCAGGCACCGAGCCTCACTTGCGCTGCCCTGATGCTGGGGATTCTGCTCTGAGGGGGGACGCTGGTTACAGAGCGGAGGCGATCACATCATTAGCGTCGGCTAGGGCGTCCCCAGTTTGCTGTACTCACTGCAGGCGATTAGCAAGGTGACCGCAAAGAGATTCTTCATCTTTGTGCAGGACCTGGGAGCGGAAACACCCGGATCTTTCACTCAAGCAAGCAACTCAGGGGTATTGATCTCTGGATCTGCTCCAGTTAGCAGGCAGGCTTCGGATAGCTGGCTGCTGCTGAGAGGATAGAGAGGCAAGTCCGAACTTCTGGCGCACGAAGCCACTCGTCACGATGAGTCAAAGCCCTGCCTGGGACAGTAAGGAGATACAGCGGATGATCTCTTACAAAGACGTGATCTGTCAGCACCGGCACTTTCTGCCTCTCCTTCTACTGGAGACATTGTACAGGCCAGCAGAGAGCTAAAGTCACGTCAGTGCTGAAATTCAGGAGGCTGATGCCCCTCTTAGAATCTGGCACAATTTGAGCCTGCATTTCCCCGCTCCCTGCCCGCCTCTAACTGGTATTTCACTAGCATGCCATTCACAGTCACTACTCAGGATCTGTCTCGCCACGGGTGAAACCCCAGCCCTGTTGGGGTCAAGGGCAAAACTCCCATTGATGTGTGGAGTCAGGACGTCACCCCATGAGTCTACCGTTCTTTTATTTCTTTAGCTGAGTTCCCCTGTAATATTAGGGGACATGGAAGATAAGGGGAGCAAGGGTCATGACCTCTTTCCCACTCCATGTAGATGTCAGAGTGAACTCAGCTATATGGTCTCTCTGTCTTTCTCAGGTCACTTTTAGGGGGGAGGGGATCGTAAATAAGCCAACCTGCAAGTGAGATAAGCTGAGCCCTGCTCTTTCCCGCTCAGGCAGAGGGGAGCGATCACATAGGGGGTGTTTATAGTGGAGTTGTAGGTGTAATTTTCAGGGTGAGCAGACGTACCCAGGCGGATTGAGTGAGCATGCTAAAAATAACAATCTAGCCGCAGCTGCACGGAAGGTGGGACCGGTTAGCTGCCTCAAGTACAATCCTGTCTGAGACCCTAGGTACATAGCTTGGGCACCTAGCCTGTTTCACTGCCCGCTACTCTTTTTAGTGATCTAGCTCAATCAGGGCTAGCACAGGTGTGTCTACCTGAGCTGGAAATTACCCCCCCAGCTGCAGTGTAGACACGCTTTAGTGAACCCCGGGGTCCCAAAGCCAATCTCAGCTGCAGCGAAGGGTAGGAAGTCTGTCCCAAGTACAAAGAACTGGTTGTCTGTTCTCCTGTATAGTTACCAGTTAGAAGGAATAACCCACAATGACACACAAGCAGAAGCTAAAACTTGTCAGAATGGGCATCAGCTGCTTGATCCCATAATGCAAGAAAAAGATCAGTAAATAATATCTATAGCACCAATCATCACAATACCCAACCACTTCCCAGGAAAATTAAGTCACTGTAGCAAGGCCTACTAGAGGGCATTCTCTTTTGTAAAGCACTCACCTCCTCTGGGCTTGGGAAAACCTTGGCAGCTGGAGTAACACCTGCTGGAGTGGTTTCTCTTATATTCTCCACTCTGTCCCTCCCACTGCTACCCCCGCCAGGTGGATCTTGTTCTCCAAGGTCCATAATTCAGGATGATCCAGATGAGTGGCCAGGTCTGTAATAGAAGGCGTTGCCTGTTTCCCTCTTTTCTCTGGGTCTAAAGGACTCTTCCATTGTATTTAAGCAGGGAGGGGCGATCATGCTGAAGACCCCCAGTAGAGACTCCGGTCTCTTCTGGCGATTTCACACTGCTCCTTTCTGAATACTTCCACTGTGCTATGAACTCGCAGGCTGGAGTTTCACACCCCTTTGGCAGAGTCTCTGCATTCTGATGTCAATTTGGCAAGAAACTATTTTTTTTCCCTTCAGAACAATGAAGAATGATCACAGCCCCACTGAAATTACCAGGAGTTTTGCCATTGACGTCAATGGGGCCAAGATTTCACCCCATGTCTTCAAGAGTGAGACCGTGCTGGATTGTCCCAGGGAACAATAAATGAAGAGGGCCAGAATCACCAGCTCAGGGAGTTGGTCGGTAAAATCCCATGGGAAGCAAGTCTAAGGGGAAGAACAATAGAAGCGAGTTGGCAGTTTTTCAAAGAGACATTATTAAGGGCACAAGAGCAAACTATCCCACTGCATAGGAAAGATAGGAACTATGGCAAGAGACCAGCCTGGCTTAACCAGGAGATCTTCGATGATCTAAAACTCAAAAAAGAGTCCTACAAAAAGTGGAAACTCGGTCAAATTACAAAGGATGAATATAAACAAATAACAGAAGTATGTAGGGACAAATTTAGAAAAGCCAAGGCACAAAATGAGATCAAACCATCTAGGGACATAAAAGGAAACAAGAAAACATTCTACAAATACATTAGAAGCAAGAGAAAGACCAAGGACAGAGTAGGCCCATTACTCAGTGAGGTGGGAAAGACAACAACAAAAAATGTGGAAATGGCAGAGGTGCTTAATGACTTCTTTGTTTCGGTTTTCACCAAAAAGGTTGGTGGCGATTGGACGTGTAACATAGTGAATGCCGGTGAAAATGAGGTAGGATGGAGTCTAAAATAGGGAAAGAACAAGTCAAAAATTACTTTGACAAGTTAGATGTCTTCAAATCACCAGGGCCTGATTAAATGCATCATAGGCCTTGGCTACACTGGCGCTGTACAGCGCTGCAACTTGCTGTGCTCAGGGGTGTGAAAACGCCCCCCCCCCCGAGCGCAGCGAGTGCTGCGCTGTAAAGCGCCAGTGTAATCAGAGCCTGCAGCGCTGCACGCTAGCTCGCAGCGCTGCAAGCTACTCCCCTCGGAGAGGTGGAGTACTTACAGCGCTGCGAGAGAGCTCTCGCAGCGCAGGCGGCGCGACTACACTCGCGCTTCACAGCGCTGCCGCAGCAGCGCTGTGAATTGCCAAGTGTAGCCAAGGCCATAGAATACTCAAGGAGCTGACTGAGGAAATATCTGAGCCATTAGCAATTATCTTTGAAAGTCATGGAAGACGGGAGACATTCTAGAAGACTGGAAAAGGGCAAATATAGTGCCCATCTGTAAAAAGGGAAATAAGGACAACCCGGGGAATTACAGACCAGTCAGCTTAATTTCTGTCCCCGGAAAGATAATGGAGCAAATAATTAAGCAATCAATTTGCAAACATCTAGAAGATAATAAGGTGATAAATAACAGTCAGCATGGATTTGTCAAGAACAAATCATGTCAAACCAACCTGATAGCTTTCTTTGACAGGATAACAAACCTTATGAATGGGGGGAAGCGGCAGATGTGGTATATCTTGACTTTAGTAAGGCTTTTGATATTGTCTCGCATGACTTTATGATAAACAAACTAGGGAAATACAACCTGGATGGAGCTACTACAAGATGGGGGCATAACTGGTTGGAAAATCGTTCCCAGAGAGTAGTTATCAGTGGTTCACAGTCATGCTGGAAGGGCATAACGAGTGGGGTCCCGCAGGGATCGGTTCTGGGTCCGGTTCTGTTCAATATCTTCATCAATGATTTAGATAATGGCATAGAGAGTTGACTTATAAAGTTTGCGGATGATACCAAACTTGAAGGGGTTGCAAGTGCTTTGGAGGATAGGATTAAAATTCAAAATGATCTGGACAAACTGGAGAGGTGGTCTGAAGTAAATAGGATGAAATCCAATAAGGACAAATGCAAAGTACTCCACTCAGGAAGGAACAATCAGTTGCACACATACAAAATGGGAAATGACTGCCTAGGAAGGAGCACTGTGGAAAGGGATCTAGGGGTCTGTAGTGAGGTGATCTGGTTCCCCGTTTCCCCGGAGAGGGACAAGCCTCTCTGGACGCCAAAGTGGGCAGAGCCAGTGGAGCTTGCGCCCACCCCCCACAGGTCAAGGCGCAGGACAGGAAGTATAAAAGCCCAACCCCAGAGCTCACTGGAGGCCCGGCCGCCGGAGAAGCCAGACGCCTGTGGCCTAGCTCCCGGTGGGGAGACTCCTGCAATCTGCGACCGACCCGAGGACTGGCGAGACTAGCCAAGGACTGATGCCGACCAGCCCCCGGGGAAGCTGTTAAGCCTGCCTGCGGCAAGCTACCCAGAGAAACTACCAAGCTTACCGCTCGCCCATTACCCCGAGGAACTGCCAGGCCTACCGCTTGCCAGCTACCCCGAGGAGCCCATGGTGTGTGACCCCATGGAGGATGCCATCCGGACCCAGGTACCTCTAGAGGGGAGGTAGGAAGTAGCCCGGGGGCAGCCGACCCGAGACTGGCTG